CCCTTGAAGAAGAGCTGCTCTCCTTCACCCCACAAAAATCATTTGCCAATAGTTCCTTGGCTAGGATTGGGGCCTATTTCCCCATTTCCCCCAATCTATTCTGGGTTTTTGGCTGATTGAGTTGGCATGGAACTTGTGCCTACTGTCAGCATTGCTGCAAGTTCATATGAGCAAGTTTCCAATGACCGGAAAACCTCTGTTTCCATATGTTCATGTAACAACCATGGCTCTTACCGTGTTTCCACCCTTTCTTCCCCAATGGTCCCTGAGCTGTGGGTAGATAAGGTTTAATATAGGAATCCTATCTAGGGACATGTACTCTGCAGTCTCTTACTCTCTAAAACTTAGCCAGTGGCCTTCTGTGTGCATTGCTGGTGTGAGTTAAGGAATGTATTAGTGTTCTTTCTATCCCCTATTCATCTCTGTTCATGAGCCTTGGGTGTAGAGGTTCTACTGTGGATGTGTCATTTAGGGCTGGGTATCTCTCAGACATTTGCTCTCTGTGTGTGACCAGTTGTGGAACTCTTTAATAACCTCCATCTGTTGCAAAAATAAGTTTCTTTGATTAGTGGTGTATGGTATATTTGTCTGTAAACGTAAGGATCCATATTTAGCATATGGTAAGAAATTTCATTTGTCTAGAGATATGATAAAGATAGGGTTTTCTTTAATATATATGATCTCTCCAGCCATGTGTATTTGGCTATATTTATAGTGTCATCCATGAGAGTACCCCCCCCATTGAGAGGCTTTAAGTCCAATTAGATAGCTTTTGATTACCCCCTAGATAAAAGTGCTATTATTGCACCAATAGAGGTAGTTTACTGTGCCAGTCATTGTGGTTATTAGGCTTTAGAGCTGGGCTAGATTACTGATTGATTTTTCTCCTTTAGCAGCTTGCATAGTATCTTCTAGAACTATGAGAGCTAGTCTTCAGACAGAAGGCTTCCAGGTCAGTTCCAGCTCCATTGCTACAAGTCCTGTGTCTGAAGTATGTCCTGTCTTCAGCAGTGTAGGGTCTTACCTTCAAGTTCTGGGAGGTAATCAGGGCTGCAGCAATAACCTGAGTTATTTTGGGAGTCTCTTGGACTACTCTGACCAACAAGTTGAAGGGAGGTTTCTCCTGTCTGGCACTGTGTTCCTTGTTATATAGCCTTCAGGTATATAACACTCATGTTCAGATATTATATGTATATTTTTCAGTTTTTGAGTTGATACATTTCCCTCTGGCTTTTATATCACCTAAGTTTTATTTATCTCTTAAACTGGGAAGGGAGGAGGGAGGTTAGACAGGAAGAGGGAGGGAGAGAGGGAGGGAGGGAGGGAGAGACGGAGGGAGGGAGAGAGAGAGTGCTCAACTATTTTAGAAGAACACTATAAACTGGATTCTTGAGACAGAGAATCCTATAACTTTAACCCATTCAGCAGAGAAAAATAGGTTTTTCTTAAAAGTTTTCAACACAGAGTTTTCCATAGCCCTTGGCATAATGTTGCCTTATAATACCATCTAATTATTTTTCTCACTTAAGTAACTTAACTTGCCCAAGATCACATGCTTAGTTATTAACAAAATGATCTGTTAAGTTGCAGGACTAAACTGACTGTATTTTATGGGAGTTAAGAGTTCAGACTCTTCAGTAAGAAAGATCTGAGTTTCTGCTCTGCCCCAAATATGTACAGTTACATATCAATTAAACAAAAGACCCAAATTTATATTTTATCTTCACTATTTAGCCAAAAACTATGCTTGTTATAAAGTCAATATTAGGCTTGGCATGGCAGCTCACATTTGTAATCCCTGCACTCATGAGGCAGGAGGATTGTGAACTGGAGGTTGAACTGTCCTCATAGTGAGACTGTCATTGTTCTGACACATATGCCAGTAGTCTCTTTCAGATGCATTTTTTTAATGTTTTGCATAAATACGACTGCATCTCTAAATGTTTATTTAACATTTATCATTTAGTTATTTTGTGTATGCGTGTGTATGCATGAGCATGCATGTAGAGTTCAGTCAGAGGGTAAGTTGCAGAGCTGGTTCTCTCCTACCATGTGGGTTCTGGGGATTGAACTCAGGTTGTCAAGCCTGTTGGCAAGTGTCTTTACCTGATGAGCCATCTTGCTGGCCCGAAAACCCAGTCCATTTAACTTCCATACTAATTTTAAATTAACTACCTAAATGCTAATTCTAGGTAGAGATTATCAAAGATTTTTTTTAGGAATAAGAGGAAATAATGAATAAGAAATCACTTTATAGACTGTATTTTAATATAAAGTATAAATGTTAATCTGTTTTAGGTTAAAAGTTAGTTTTTACCATTACAGAAATTATATCGCCTCATAGAAAATTTGAAAAATGAATATAACAAAAGAAGAAACAAAGTGCTCACGTGTTCTATCTTTAGAATAACCATTTCATTTTCTTGTAGATCTAGAATTTCTGTTTTTCTTAAAATACAAATTGGTCATTTTGAAATAATCAGTGAAAACAGGTAGAAAATTGTGAATTGGAAGGCAGATTAAAGGCAGCACCCACTTTGTCTTTTTCTTCCAATTATAAGTACCCCAATAATTCAGGCTCTTCATGATCAGATTTAAAGATGTGGAAAACTGGTTCTCACTTATCTGGGCAGAAGGAATGGCCATCCTGCCCTTTTCTCAGTCTTCTTTCGGGGAAGGATTCAATTCTCAGGGTCTTTAGGCTCTTCCTGGCAGGGTCTGGATTAAGAGCCAGGAGGCTGTCATGGTAGTCCTTCATATCTGAGAAGTAAAAAGGTAAATGACCTATGATTTATGTGAACTAGCAATATGCTGTAAAAGTCATAAATGTTAACAGAGACTTGGGCTTCCTTAATGAAAGCTCTGAGGATCTGATTTTCTCCTTGTGCCTTGGGCATCTAGAGCACATCAGTATATTTTATGTTCTTTATGGGACTGAGGTTTATGCTTGACATTGAAAATGAACAAACAGGTGATTAGGAAAGACAGTGGATCAGGAAGTCCCATCATTCAGTGAAGAGTTGAAAGAACTAAGAATATTTTGCTTAGTGACATCCTAGGGATAGTTTGAGTTTTTTAGGAAGAAAGTTTATTGTAAATTTAAGCACATGGGGTTAATAGAAAAGTGCTGAGGGAAAGAATAAAACACTTCAGTATGGATATGGGCTTTTCAACAGAGAACTGAGTTTAAGTGTTTTAGGATTAGCTATGGATACTATTTTGGTGGCTCGACTTACCATTCAAAGGGTTGCTAAGACATTTTTTTTTCTTCCTTTTTTCTTTTTTTTAGTGTATATTTTTTAATGGATTTTTTATGAATTTCATACATCTTATTCAGGTCCCTTCCCTATCTGCACCCCCCCCAGGAGATTCCATGCATTCTGTCATATTTGTTAAAGTCTATTTAGTCAAGTTTGTGTACCCAGATTTCCCTTGGTGTAAGTTCATCCACTGGAATCTAGTCAGCCTCTCTAGAGTCACTCCCTCAGAGAAGAACTACTCTCCCTCACCCAGCAGTGATCAGCTACCAGTAGTTCCTCAGCTAAGGCTGGGGCCTCCTGGTCATTTCCCAGCTCTTTGCTAGTTTTTGTCTGATTGAGTTTGCATGGTCTTCTGTATGCAGTCACCATTGCTGTAAGTTCGTATGAGCAAGTGCCAAGAAGCTTGGAAGACTGTTCCCTTGTGGTCCTGCACCACTCCTGGCTCTTAAATTCTGCCTTATCTTCTGCAGTGGTCCCTGAGTCATGGGTGGCTGTTTTTTTCCTGTTTTATTGCTTGAGATTATAGGGTGGCTCCAGTGGTCCTTTGGATAGGATTGCAATCTGATAAGATATACTCATGGATAATGAAGGTTGTATATGATAGTTTTATGATACAGCTCTTACTGCGAGTGGAGATTCTTGAGAGATTCCTAGAACATTGCAGGTTTATGGCTGGGAAAGAGTAAAGCCATATATGCTTAGGTCTGAAGTGTGATTCACTGCTATTTTAACATTTTTATTCAAAATAGCTCCATGTAAAAGGAATGTTGTCTGTAGGCAACCTTCAAAGCAAATGCTATAATTGTGCTGGAATCCTGACTCTGAGCTGGTGAGAAGCCTCAATCAAACACTGGGATGAGGGGGTTCCTTTCCCTTCTTCCATCCTTTAATAGTTCCTGTCTTTCTGTCCTCCCTCAATTCCATTTAAGCCAAGATTTAATGAATACCTGAAAGAGATACTATAAATTGCATTTCTTCATTGAATTCATCCATCCATTTATCCCTCCGTCAATCCATCCATTCATTCACTTTTTATGAGCTCTTCCTGTGGTGGTCATGGTGAGAGATAAATACAGTGAGTAAAGATCTCATTGTATTTGTGATTGAAAGAAAGTGTTTGATGCTTCAGTTTCTTTTGCCCTCAATAGAGAACTCTGTGTATTATGCACTTTCTCTTTTAATCACTTCAGTGTGTTTCTGTCACATTTCATATCAATAATATTTCATATCAATCTCTGAAAATTATGGGACTCTAAACATGGTGTGCACAATATTTTCCCACCTTTTATCATAGAAGCTAAAATTGAATATGGAGTCAACTTTTGATGGAATAATGATTTTTGAAAATTGGAAGCAATTTCAGGTTGGGTCAATGTTTTGGATTTATCAGAAAATATCATGAGAGAATATGCCATTAAGTGTAAGGGGGATAATATTTATTAATACAGTTGAAAGTTCACTGTGCATAAGACATACATGGAAGAGTCAGGTTTCAGTTACACTATTATTTTTATGAAGTAAGTTATAGTTTATATGTTCTAAGACATTGAATTTCCAACCTCAGCATTTGTAGAATGACTGCATATCTTTACTAATTCTCCTTCTGCTTGTAGAGATCAGGTAGTACTAGGAGTAAGCAGAGATGCCAAGAACAAGGTGTGCAGATTTGGAGGGGACGCTAGGAGCTCTGTCCACTTGGCCTATCAAGTAAGACCAGCTGTTCATTTGTTTCATGTCCAGGTTTGGAATTCACCCAGTTGCAGGCCGAATGCCTGGTCAGCTTAATGTGCTTCTGGCTGAGGCGGGGGTGCCCTATGATATTGTGTTGGAAATGGATGAGATCAACAGTGATTTCCCAGGTAAGTGATGGGGACGATGACAAAAGTGAAATAGTGTGCATGAAGTATTATGCATTTAGAATATAATTGTGGGCTTAATGAAGACTGACAAGTCAGATAAAGAGTGATATGCATATAGCAGATTTGTGGCCAAAAGGAAATGAAGGCTGTTACAGAATAAGCTGCAGCAGATTTGTAAGCAGCATGGTTAAATTTCGTTCCTCTGTGAGAACTGAGAGATGGCAACAATCTCAATCTGAGACCTGGGCAGATCTGGTTTAGAATCCAGGTCTTCACTCCCAGTAGCTTATAGCCTTGAGCGATGTACTCACCACAGACTCCTTGTCTATGGAAGTGCTTCTGTAGATGAGCTCTGTGGCGTCTGAATTCTTGTCAGTGTTGATTTTACTGGTTTTCTATTGTTATGATCAGTGAATCCATTCTCTTGCTCTTTCTCTTTTTGTCTCCCCCTCTCTCATTCTTCCTTGCTCTTTCTCTCTTCATTTCTAAGTACTAAGACTTCATAAGATACGGTGCTGTATTTTATAGTTGTTATTGGGTAGATGTTGAGTGGTGATGACATTTGGCCCAAGATCATGTTTGTTAAAATTAGACCAGTTCCCTCTGGCAAGTATCCACTGTAAACTTAAAAAAAGGCACTGTTTATTAGAAAAAAAATAACGAAATTGTGTGTATGTCTAGATGCACATGGCATTTTTGGCAACATCTTTGGGTAACTTAAATTATAGTCCTTAAAGAGAGAATTTAGGCCATTTTAATTTTATGCTCCTTTTTAAATTTAACTGTTGTTAAATTATGTGTAAAACCTGCCAGTTCCAGGAATTATGGACACAGCTGTAATACAGTACAGCCTTTAGATCATTGTCTTTTTGACATTAGATTGCATCTTAATTGATCATTTTAAGAGTTGAAAATGAATGTAGATCTTATAAAATTATGTGAATAGCAAGATAATTTGGGGACAATAAAAGAAATACAAAATCAGATTAGGTAGATCCATTGGGAGGGAAAGCATCATAAAGCAGACTTTTGTCGGGATGCTAAGGCCAAGAGCCTGGCCTACTGCTGGTTTCTAGTTGTGTGACACATCTGATAGAGCTGTGTGTTTGGGTACCTGGCTCAAATGAGCCTCTCATAAATATTTGCTTTTGTTATTGTTATTATAAAGTCAGATCACTGTAATTTGCTGAAAAAGAAGTGAACGTGACCCATTGTGTCTTATACTTTCTTTTTTTTTCTTTTCTCAAATACAGACACTGATTTGGTTCTTGTAATTGGAGCTAATGACACTGTTAATTCTGCGGCTCAAGAAGATCCCAATTCTGTTATTGCAGGCATGCCAGTCCTTGAGGTCTGGAAATCCAAGCAGGTAATGTTGAAGACTTAATGGTTCTTTTTCATGATCAAAGGTCATTTGAAATATACACACAGAGCTTTCTTCAGTCATTTGATGAGAAATGGTGATGCCTTTTAGGAGGCCCAAAAGTGAGAGCTTGGCTTAGGGCCAGTCCCTGTGTCCAGATTCCACTTACTCTCTGGTCACCAGAGAACCTGAGTGAATTCCGCATCGTGAGTAGAACCAGATGAGATTATGTGGCTGGATTAACAAAATCTGTAACCACAGCTGAAAAAAGAGCTGCAAGCATTTGGAATGAATCTGGCCAAATTCCAGATTGAGTCCAGTGAAACAGATGGCTTCCCTCTGGGACAGTGAGTCAGTATCATCGCCTTTGTATACCAAGATGAGCACATTTTAAAAAATTTATTGTTTTGAAGGGGTGTTTGTATGTTGTTAAGGACTGTCTAGCAGAAAGGTGATTTAGAAATCTCAACAGCATGGCATAAGAAAGGAGGCTTTGCTCATGCATATGGCTCCTGAGAAAGGCTAATTGTTAGATTTTGGAGAACTCAAAGCCTTGTAAATGCTCCTCTGCTCCAGAAGGGGAGCATCTTTTTCATTTCTGAGCTGTGTTTGCATTTTAAGAATTACAGTAGTGTGGTTGGGGGGGGGGCAGGAGACATCCTCATTCATTAAGAGCATATAACTGCTCTTGCAGAGGACCTGAGTTCAGTTCCCAACACCCACATTGGGAGGCTCACAACTGCTGTAACTCCAGTGCCAAAGAATCTGACACCCTCTTCAGGACTGCAAGGACACCTGCATTCACATATGCATATATACCCCCTGTCCTAGTTTATTCTTCATTGTTGTGACAAAACACTCTGACCAATACCAACTTGGGGAGGAAAGGGTTTATCTGTCCTACATCTCCCAGGTCACAGTTCATCAGGGAGCCCAAGGTAGGAACTCAGGACAGGAACCTGGAGGCAGGAGCTGGAGCACTGGCCATGGAGGAACTCTGCTTACTGGCTTGCTCCCCTGGCCCCTGCTCTGCCTGCTTTCTTATGCAACACAGGCCCACCTGCCCAGGGATGGCACCACCCACAGTAGGCTGGGTCCTACATCAGTTAGCAAGCACAAAAATGCCTCACAGACAGGCCTGCAGGCCAAAGTGTTCAAGGAAACTCCTCCAT